TGAAATCAATGGAACTAAAGCCGGATGATCCAAGGAACTGCAAAATACAAATGAAGGAGCTAAGAAGAATGGTATAAGGAGTTGTCACACTATGAGGAATGGCCAAGGAGTTGCCACAAGCTACCAATAGAACTATGAGGAATGGCAAAGGATCTGCTAGAAACAATTAAAGGAGCGCAGTGAAGGAGTCAAGGGAGCTGCTGGAAACTATCCATGGAGCTAAGAGGGAGGATCGATGGAGCTGCTAGAAGCTATCAAGAGAGGTAGGAGGAATGATCAATATCTGCTAGAAACAATTAAGAGGACTAGATGGAATGGTCAGAGAGGCTGCTAGAAAGACAAGGAAGAATGGCCAAAAGGAACCGATAGAAACTATAAACGACGTCGAAGTAAGTAACTTTTAGGAGCTGAATGGAATGACTTAAACAATCAGCTGAGCTAATGGTAATGACCGAATATATCGCATAATGTGATATGCAACGTTAATAACAACACAGATGACATCCTTTTTGACTTGTGAAGTACAGCTTTGTAATTCTAGTACAATTTATAAGTGTAGATCATGTTGATCTATCATCAAAGTTTAATGACTTCAGCACCTAGATGACCTTTCATCGAGTCTCTACAACTAGTACATGGGATCAAAGATGGCTCTTATCATGACTTTGAATACACAGTTTCACCATTGACTACACAGTTTCTGAAACTGACGTTGGCACCCCATTTTCAGCAATATTCAGTTTCAGCATTGGCGTTGGCGATCCAATCAGTGCCACCAAGTAAAGGTAGTTAACATTGTATTGTGTTCTACACGCTATTTCACAGCCAGGTGAAAGTTGGCAACACATCATGTTTCAGCTGTGATAGTTTTAACATTATTGACACAAGACAAGTAGAGAATTAATCCCTTATCACACTGTGTAGTTACAGATTGACTCGACATCAAGTTTTACTTCAAGTGTATCCTAGCAATATGAGTGAAGAACTACATCCACTGGACGAGCTTTGTGACATGTAATGATACTCCATAGGTCAAGAATAGATGTTATCCTAGACTCTCGATGATGGAAGCTATTTGAAGGAGTGTCATGATACTCTGTGGGTCATGAAAGTAGTGTTTTTATACTCTGTGGGTCACGAAATTTAGGTGACCAATGACGCTCAATGGTTAAAGATGAAGATGTAATGATGCTCCCTTGGTCACGCAATGCTGTTGACCCTTGACTATCAATGATGAAAGAAAGATGGAGTTGTATAGGTCACGACATACAGTAGGTGGTCAGGACTCTCAATGATGGACAATGAAGTTGCATAATGGTCATGGCAAACAGCATGTGGTCATGTCTCTCAATGATGGACAATGAAGTTGCATGATGGTCACGACAAACAGCATGTGGTAATGATTCTCAATGATGGACAATGAAGTTGCATAATGGTCACGACAAACAGTATGTGGTAATGATTCTCAATGATGGACAATGAAGTTGCATAATGGTCACGACAAACAGTATGTGGTCATGTCTCTCAATGATGGACAATGAAGTTGCATAATGGTCACGACAAACAGTATGTGGTCATGTCTCTCAATGATGGACAATGAAGTTGCATAATGGTCACGACAAACAGTATGTGGTAATGATTCTCAATGATGGACAATGTTGTTGCATAATGGTCACGACAAACAGTATGTGGTCATGATTGTCAATGATGGAATATGGGAATGCGTTGCGTAATGATAAACTGTGGAACATGAAATATAGAGGGTTCGTCACTAGCATTGATGAAGGAAGAAGCTATGTAATATTTACACGCCATGATACAGATGATCCTTAACTCTGAATGATGAAGTGACCCAAAATACGCATAATCCCCACTGACTGTTAGTCTACTTCATTCGCATGTCATTTCATGTGGTGACGAAAAACCAATACGTTGCTGACCACAATAGCTTGTGGTATTATTACATCTCGAACGTAATAATACAATTCTAACCAAGAAAAACTATCACACTGTTCCATATCTTGACGATTTCAATTTTCTCCAAATGCCAACAGTGTCAGTGATGGAGTCGTAATCTCAGTCTTAACGCACTTTCAGAAAAGTAATTAAAGCGCCTGATATTTTTCTATTACTTTATCTGGAAGCAGTAAGGCTGCAAGGTTTGAAATTTGAAAAATCACTTTCTGAGAGCATAAAGAGCCATAAATCATTGTGAGTGTAAATTAAGTTGGTTTGGCAGTGACAGATAGCGTTACTCGCTTCCTTTCCTATTATAGATTGGATTCCATTTCCATGGAATTTCCAGGAATGGTATGTTTCGAGACTGAAGGATGGTTTCATTAAAATGGAGGAATATCCGTTGCAGACGAATCTTAAAATGAAGGCATTAGTAATATCGTGCCTGTCAAAATCTGAGATTTAACTAAGAATATTTTTAGTTATAAACCAGTCTGCTGTTAAATTTATCTGACCTATGGAAATTCTCAAGATTAGCCGAGACTTGGACTTAAAATTACTGGAACAATCAAACGACGCCTTGTATGTCGAAGAATGAACAAGTTAAAGATTTCTCGTCAGTCGTAGTAACATAATGACAATTCTTTAACAAATTTCCTTCATTACACACTGCATGGTGTTCAGTGAGCTAAATGAAATTAAATGGTATTTTACGTCCCATTTTTCTGTTTTTGATTGGGATAATGAAAAGAGGCAATACCATACAGTGTACAATATATAAATTTTATGAGATACAGTGAATACTATGTAAAATACAACCACATAGTTCGTTTAACTTAATATCTTTTGTTCATGAATAAATATATTCAAACCAAATACCACAATACCAGTACCTTTGTGATATTTCCCAAAGATATTCCCAATTGCAGACCGGCACCAGGAGTCTGTAATACTAATATTAGATGTAATTATGGTGGAATGACCCAACTTCACAGAACAATCTTTGGTGTATTAAATGTTTTATGAAATGTACAGAGAAATCCAATCTAACTAAAACGTAGAGTAACATCAGGTGTTCAGAAAAATCTCACAAGCGTCTAATGATCACCTTAAAGTTATTCGAGACAGGGTTTGAGGTCTAATTATAACCAAACGACAGAATACGCACATAGACAAACAGTGGTGAATCTAACAAGTGTTTACCCGGGCCAATTATTCGCGTCATTTCACTATACAGTAAGAGTGAATGATTTAGTTTCACGTTGAAGTGACAAGTATATGTACTCAGGTACGAGGTGAGAGTTCAAACAAAAAACCTAACCTTAATACGTTGATGTTTGAAAGACGACTCTTTACTTGTTGATGTAGTTGGATTCAGTATTCAAGATTGGGTTTAATCGAGGATTGTTTTCAAGGCTGCAATTTACATTTTCTAGTATAAAACTGAGTCAACATATCAACTAGCTACAAGAGTGGTATAAATTTAAATAACAATCCAATTAGGGTTTTTTGGTTGTACATTTTAACAAGCGTACTTTTATTTCAGTAACTTGAACCCACTCCGTAATGGCACTTTCAGTTAAAAGTACAGGATGAATCAAGGAAAGAATTATAGATCTCCAAAGGGTATTTTCTACTCCGTGTATGTGTATACCTTAATATCTTCTATTTCCACATTTCGTGTGATGCCAGTGGGTCCTATCATTGAAGAAAAACTTGATTATGTAGTCACTATCGCCGATACCATTAAAGCCAACAGGGTCTTAGACTGACGCAATAACCTGTTCATGGTCCTCTTGAATTAAACTACACAGACAGACGATTGTCCCGAAATGGTGCAAAGAGGAGCTATAAGTATGCCTAATTAACAGGCAGAGGCTTGAAAATCCCTTAATGCATAATGGATCGAAAGCTTTCACAGCGTCTATATTAATAATAGTATATACTTATTTTTTATCACATCATCGCATTATAATAACTCTTAACTCCTACTTGCAAATTTGATTAAAGACTTAGAATTTTATGAAATAATTAATTAGACTCTTGGAAACTTATCATTCAATGACTTCATATCAACTATGTAATTATGAAAAGAGTTAGGTTAAAAAGGTTGGTAATAACCTAAATGACTCGGTGTAATATAATGGTATATCGATTGATCTGAGGCAGATAACCTTTTAAATGTTAAATCCACCTGTCTTTAGACCATCAAATATGAAATTAAATGCATAGTTATTTCAAAGCTCTGATTATTCAATCGTTTAATACATAAATTCATGAACTCCTTTGAAAAAGCAAAAGCTATTGTGAAATTTCTTTATTTTGCGTGTTTATAAGTTGTTGAATGATTTTTTTTTTTTTTCATTTTAAAGTGCAGATTATCTGGATGTAACTTTTTCACTAACAATTAATTTTGAATGAAATTTTGAACTACTCGAGTAACTGTCCAATAAGGATATTTTGACAATTTTGAGCCTGTAATCAGAAACATCATAACTTTTGGATAATCGTACAAACAATTTAAAGAATTCCGAATGGATAATCTCATTGCAGTGATAATTTTATCCAATTAGATGTCTTGAAATCATTTAGTTACCATACTTAAAAGTTTTAAACTTTCTAAATCAGTGAAACAGACCTTGCAAAGTAACTTATCAAAAGTTGATCAAGTCACCAAGGAAGCTCTCGGTCATACGGATTTGAAGAAGCTTCGATAGATTTATTGATAATAGCTTCTATAAGTAAAGGCTCAAGCTCTATCAACTAAACAAATCCTTATAATACCTCGAACATGTTTGGTATGAAGGCAGTTACTCGAGAACTTCAAAATTACAAACAAAACTAGTGTGGAAAAAGAAATGTCTTTTAAGAAGGGTAATCTTTGTAGGGTTAAAATAATTAACCCCTGACTCCATGCTGGGGGTTTTGGCGTTAAAAGGGTGTGGTGGATTTGGTCCGAGAGATTACAGTTCATCAGTTGAGTACACATTCTGGTCTTAGCATAAAATCCAGGGCAAACATTCCAAAACACAAATAAACACACAAAGTATTCATTGAAATTTTTTCATTCACATTTTTCTCTGTTATATACATACATGTAACTTATACCCGACTTGTATTTAGGTTTTGGGACTTAAATATTCTCGTTATATTTCGTTGTCTTGTTGCTATAGTGATTTTGATAAAACAAATAATGGTTTTGAAGCGATAAAGTACAAGAGAGTCATAACTTTACATTTTAATGTTGAAAGAAAAATGTGTTTCAAGATAATCGTTGCTAGAGGAAAATTATTTCAAGAAATGTCAATGAAGAGATTAGAACTGGAAGAAGGGGGTCAGTAAAGATAGCTTTGTATAATAATTTGCCTTACCGTCATCAAATCAGCATCAAAATTCAACGTTTTTTACTCTATTTTTAAATAGTTTTTTTTTTTAAAAAAAAACATTTAACACAAACTTACACAGTAAAATAGTGAGTCACAAAACACATTATTGGCTTTTCTCAATAACATTTGAAAACAATACTAAAAACAATATAGCTATTTTCTCACTACATTTTTTTTAAATTTTGGTTTACGCTCACAAATTTCAAGCTTTTCGCGTTAATCTTTGGGACAATCTTTTGAGGCGATTTAGGAAAGAAGTAATAACAACAAGAGCATACCCGTAAATGTTTAAAATATAACCACAATCGCCTTACAAACAAATTTCTTGGTCCTTATGATTTAAATGCTTTATATTTGAGATATAAAAATCGTCGTTTGAAAAACATTGAGTATTGTGAACGTAGGTTTTTTTCTTTCTTTTCATTCGACATTTTGACTTGACCAAACCTTGACATCATCGATCTCGAAACAAAATAAATATTGGTGACAAATCTCGCGAGAAACATGTCGTGCATTTCAAAACTTTTCTTCGTATCGATTTCAGGTTGTCGTAAAAACGTCTCACAACAATCAATTTCCAAGACAGAAGTCGACTTTCACCGACAAATCTCTTCCACGGAGACACAACGACGAATTTCTAACTTTTAAAGCGCCATTATTCATAGTTTTTATTCTTTGGTAGAAATTGTATGCATTGCATTATTTGACATTACAATTTGAGTTTTGGTATAGTTTTGTGTGACACTTTCGCAAATACGTGAATGGTCCACTATTGTTTTTTGTTGTTTTCAAGGGGACTGTCACTGTCATTTTTTGGTATGTCGCTGACGAGTAACACAAACAATAATACAACAATAAAATAATAATATAACATTTAAATTAATTTTGGAACAAGTCACACCACAGTTTCGTCAGATTTCACTCGCTTTGTTTTGTCCATACGTATAGACCTATTCGGAGGTTTTAATGGGATTTGATGGTAGTTATGTGGCATGGTGTATTCGATATTTTTTCGGTCTCTTTTCCTTACACAGATTTTCTTGAAAAAGTTTTTCCAAGAGCTCACAGTTTTGGCTGACCAAATCCACATACCACTCGTTATGCCTACAACAAGCGACATGAAGAGTTTGAGCATGAAAATTTCAATATTTGGCGAGGTTTGAGGACTGTAGAGGTACCATGAGGATCTGTTAAGGTATTCGTATAATAAACAGCCAATGACACACGTGGCTGGTACAGTATATAATACGGAGAAGATTCCAATTCGCACCATCAGAACCTCAAGTTTGTCGGTTTTCACACCGTCACATCGGACTTGCTTCCTGATTCTAAATAATGCCACGAATCCGGCGATGAGAAACGCAGTTCCCAGAATGAGGTAAACGATCAGAGGCGCGACTCCGAATCCTAGCAGCATCTGCGTACTTTGGTTTCCAACGTAACATATTCCTGTTAGTTCGTCTGCGTCAACGTCTCTCATTACTAATATCACAATAGTTTTAATAGCTGGAAGGGCCCAGGCAAAGAGATGGAAATAACTACTGTGAAGCTGAATAGCCTCGTGTCCCCACTTTAAACCAGCCGATAAAAACCATGTAAAAGTTAATACAACCCACCATAAAGAACTGGCAGTTCCGAAAAAATACAGTAATAAAAATACAATAGCACAGTCCGTATTTTCCAGGCCTTCTTGAATTAAAATAGATTTTCCACTTTGGCTGTCGGTATCACAGGCTATAGACTGTCTTCCTGCTAATAATCTCACAATATAGGCAATACTGTATATATTATAACACATTGATAGAAATATAATAGGTCGCTCGGGATATTTAAATCTCTGCGAGTCGATCAGAAAGGTTAATACCGTAAAGAAAGTGGACACAAAACATAAGCCGGCCCATATAGCCATCCACACATCTGCAAATAATTTATCTTTACTGGTAAACGCGTCGTTTTCTGAACACAATAGAGCACACCTTTCAGTACGGTTAATAAAAATGTACTTGGATGGATTTCTGAATTTTTCACAGCTTTTAGAATAATGTGGTGGTCTTATACTATGACCTGGAAAATCAGTGCTACTCTGATGATACTTAGGAACGTTAGGTTTTCTTGGATATGGCAGATCATCTTCGATTTCATCACCCGGTCCATCCATACACATGTGTGTTTGATCATTCCTAGCTGGAAACTTGGAACAATTTAACGCTGCAGGCCATGGATATCCGAATTCGTTAAGTACAGGTTGACAGCGACTTCGTACACTTTCACACATCGGTCGACAGGGACCGATCGGATCCATGACTTTCTCAGTACACATGGGAACGTAGACTGAACACAGGAAAAATTTGAGTTGTTTGGAACAGCCATACTGTATTAATGGTGTAAAGGTTTGTAACTGTAAACCAGCATCTTGTTGGTCTGTGTGTGCCACCAGATTGGGCATTCCAGTCACGTTATATCCCAAACCTTTACACATCTCAAACCGGATGGGCTCACACGTCCGTACATTCTCCGATCCAGATGACTGTATTCCAGGAAGTAGAGTCACTAAAACCACAACACAAAGGTTGGAAAATAAACTGGTGTAAACACCATTACTTCTCATTTTGACTGTTCATATAGAAGAATATAACACAATATCGGTTGAAAGTCTGCTGTATGCTGGCAGGCACTGGCTGTTGTTTGAAGGTATAACCGCCTAATCTCTTTCACTGCCTTTTCTTACTATCCACTATCACGAATTACCTCTTGTGGCTACCAAACTATTTATCGTCGATCCACTCATTCTTCGAGTCCTCTTATAATCACCGTTTCTATCCGATGAACTGTCTTAGGCTCGCGTACAGCCTACAAACGTGTATGATCAGCAAGCTATCGACCCGTCCATATTAAATCTGTGAGAATTTAACTCGTGGTAGCATTGAAAACAGCCAAGATCACCGGATTCCCATCGTCTGGGTTAACGCTTCACCGACCAATGAGAAGAAATGTTATTTTCGAGGGCCCCGCCTCCTTCATTCTTTCTCCACACAACTGCGCTATCAATCATAGGTTTAAGTCCTGCCAATCATTTATTTGTCCATTTCTCAATGCGATCGTTTACACTAGATGAATTTAATGTAAAGCTTTTATATTCATCTTATAATGCCTCTATTCAAGCTAGGTATTTCTTTTAAACAGCCCAATATAACCATTTTATTTTCATTTTTCAGAAATCTATTCGTGCTTTCACAGATTGTTATAATTGGATTGACAATAAGTCAAACGACAACAACACAAGTGGTCAAAGGCATCATTTTCATCACAAAGCTGCCAAAAATCACACTATTCGTTAAGTCCAATGCATACAAAACGTGAAACAACGCCTAAAAACTACAAGTCATATTTTGTTCCCATATTTTATATGAGGTGTATGTATATAAGATAGACGAGCGAGTCGTGTCCTATTTACTCTAATATATATCATACACAATGTTAAAAGCATAGTAATATAAACTTTCCTTCACCCTACTAACGAGAGACTTGCTCATATTCTGACATTTATGGTCCAATTTTATTACCATCCATTCATTGTCTCTCTCACAAAATTCTTTAAACAGCTCAATTTATTCAAGTCACTGCAGATTTCTCAAGTTATAAACTTTCTAGTTAAGACATATTTAAATAATGAGCGTATAATCAGAAGGATATTTATATAGTAGACATTTTAATAAATATTTAAAATAAAAATCCGTAGAGACACATCACCTTTAAGGGGTTGTAAAGGTTTTTTTTTTAAAAAAAAACGTTTGTTAGCGTGATATTAGGGACACTGTTAGCGTTTTATGACGTCACTATCGCAAACTGCAGATATTGCGATAGTGACGTAATCAGCTAGCGCTTAGGCTTGCTGGAACTACAGGAACTAAAGACATCTGACTAACAATTGTGCAAATCGATGCTATCAGTGTCCATGATACACATAGGTCAACCTCTAGAAAACCTCTTTACAATTCCTTTAACAGCTATCAGCCACATAAATTCAACTCTGTAGCGACAAGCAGCAGATTGTTTTCCCTCGATTAATCGCTTATCTCAAACACAAGTAACCATTTTTTGTTACGACACACTCTTATATAGACGGTATCTTTTTTTAAAAAAAAAAACATTCGGTTTGAACGTGTATTATCAGTCAAATTTCTATTCCGAGTTCTCCAATATGGTAAAGTTGAGCCAAAATCGTGCAGAAATTTTATGAGATAAGGACGGAGGTTGCGTATTTAGAATTAACAAGGCCACAGTGGCATTCCTACCATCAAAACTTTCAGAGCGAGTCCGGTTCTGACTCTCCAAAACCCCCATTCCTCCGCCCACACTAAGAACCTTGACAATTATGTGGCCCTTACTCTTCACTAATAATTCATAGAAACTGCAAAACCATTCCCAGTAGGCCTAAAGAATTACAATAAAATCCAAATTTCCACATCTAACATAAATCGTCAAAGTTGCTTTGCATGCAGCAGTTGCGGGAGTCTATGAAGAGTCACAGTTAAAGGGGCATAACTCTAGTTATTGATCTTAGCGACTTGGCAATTACTGTGATACAGTTGACAATAAACCATGTCAGATAATATCATATTTTTACGCGATTATAGGAATTCACGGTTGGGTGGAGCCATTGAAGAAGGGTAATGATATTAAACTCCTCGCCTATCGTGATACGACCTACTTATTTAGCGTCTTTAAATGAAATCTATTTCGATAACAACGCCTTTTTCTCGATTCACTAAACTTGACAAACACATTTTGACGTAGAGAGCGCATCAGCAGTAAAAATCTATTATTAGGGGTTGAATATTATCACCACTGTACACGCGCCGTATCTAAACGCTATCCCTTAATACACAATAAAAAGCGATAATAAAACAGTAGATTAGTTGAGGTGATCTAGGATAGTCACAAATCAATTAGGATCTCGGTAGAAATGATCAATAATGTAAGAGACTGGAGATGGCTAGTGCGAATTAAGTATGGCAGATGATGATGTAGATATTAGTACCCAGTCCATATGCGTAAACTGGGTTGATGTAAAGCCACCGAAACCCTAGTGATGTTCAGTTTTTCAGCTAATTTTTGTAATCATAGACTAATTTTTAAAACAAACTTTTTTTTCTTGAAACTAATCACTGCGTTCTTAACCTTTACGCATGAACTCTGGGGCCTATGACGTACTCAACTCTTCGAGATTATCAGTGGCGGGTACAGTGGAGGGGGGAATTGTATTCAAAATATGTGTCAGAATGTACAAAATCAATTCATTTTTTCCAAAATTTTCTTGAGAGACCCCTCTAAGACGACATAGGCTTGCGACTATATGACACCACCACAGAGTAGCCAAAATTTGAATTCAGCCTCAGCATTAGTAGACTGGTAATTCAAGTCCGTCTAAATTATACTAAGACCTCCTCAACACCCAAGCTGAACATTTATCAATCACTACTTGCTGGGAAACTATTACGAATATGGTTTTTCGTATATCTTGGAAGCCAAATAGATAATTAAGGTTGATAAATCATAAAGGAAGAATCGGCAAGCTGCAGAATTTTGGACGTCGGCATACAATACGGTGATGGATGTTTTCATTAATTTTCAACTGAGCACTAATTGAAATTTAGCATAAAATTGCTCATTTTTTCTCATTTGGATACGAGTATTTCCGAACAAAACGCAACTATTAGGTCTCGAATGTGCCGACTGATTAGACCAATCATTGTCACCAATCGACATGAATTCTCACTCAGTTGAAAACTAATAAACTTTAATTAAAGGTACAGATTCGCCACCCGTACGTTTGACCAATCGTACTTAAGTCTCGGTACTATTAAAATCCCGAAAACGACGAAAATGTCCTTTTTAAAGTAGAACCCTTTCACTTTGGGCATCCACCCTTTTCTTGGGAATATGTAGCTGAAGTTAAGTTACTAATTTTGTTTTTATCTATTACTGTTGTGAAAAAATAAGAATACAAGATATAGAATTAAATTTTTATTAAACTATGTTTTCAAAATGTTACTAAGTTAAGAAGAGTTGTTTCCCATTATTAACCTATGTTCGTTTTCGAGCTGGATAATGTCGACTTCAAATAGATAATTTGCTGGTAGCTTCCCTTTTGATTACCATGGCAAAGTAAACAAAGATGGCGGATAAAAGTACAGGCGAAATAGAAAATTCGTCTGTCAGTGGAAATACACAAATAAAAAATGAAGAGCAGAAGGTGAAACTTCCCTAGCCTTTATCTTTTATAATTTTCAAACTCTTAATTGATCTTTATTGAGGATTGTTGGATTTGTAGCCAAATAGATCCGAATATAAACTGATTGAACGAAGTGATTGTGATTGACTTCAAAGTTCAATCAATCAAATGCATTCATCTGTCAATGTCTCTCAATTAATTATCCAAGCCTCTTCCTCTATCCATGAAAAAAAAGTTAAAGATTTTGTACACAACCCTTTCTTCAGACTCTCAAATTCTTCCCGGTTTCCCCCTGTCAGTCAGTGATGCAGGTGAGAGGGGCTGACATGGAAAAAGCCTACACAACACTGTCAACAGATACGTGGATTCTGCCCTAGCAATAAATAATTTATTTCAAGTTAAAACACTGTAGAAAGCTGACTTGTTAAGGCAAGGTTGGTTATGACTTGCATTTTGTTGATAGCAGCGGCCTTAAACGTCTTTGTTAAGGTTAGTTTTAGAGTTCTAAACTGGATTCAGTGCTGGAATTGTATTAAACAAAAGATATGGGTGGACTGCCTTTAAGTGATACTACGTCTTTGAATGAACATAAAATTTAATTCTGGTCAATATAAGTATATATTCATCAGTTAGCTTACCTGGTGTCATGAAGTTACAACGGAATCCCTGTAAAATCTAGAAGATTGGAAAATTCATATATAAATATTTTTAGATTTATTGGATTATATAAGGATCCTGTTATGTTATTTATGACACCAAGTCTATCTACTGATGAATATATGCTCTTATTGGCCATGTTTAAAATTTTCAAATTTTATGTTTATTCTAAGACGTAGTAACCCTTTAACAATAGAAAAATATTTCATGTTACTGATGTCTTAACTCTATCCTGTACCTTTCTTAAACTTGCTACTTTAATCTTCTTTCTGCCTTCTGGAGTTCTGGTGTAGCCTACTAATAACTAGGAAAAGATAATTCTGCTCCATTTGATTAAACAGGAAGAATATCTACTATTCCTATATAATATCTTTCAAAATGTCTGGTAAAATTGCAAATTATCTGTCTCTATTAGCTAAGTATTTAGGTAGAGTAAAGTTTCAGCATGAAACTGTCTTTCATTCTAAGAATAAGGTAAAAAAAGGTTCTCCAACAACTCAACTCAACAACCATAGCAAGAATTTAACTTTAATTTTGAAAAGTTTTACAGATAGATGAAATTATACTCAGCTGTGGAAAAGCTAATAATTAAACTACATGTTCTTAAAACATTTACATTACATGTAATCTTAATCTTAAGCTTTGCTTTGTTAACAGGAAGAAGAAAACAAAGATGAAGCTGACAAAATAAAAACCAACAGTAGCGGCACTAAAACATATCAACAATCTTTACCTCATGTTCTTTCTAATTATGGTTTAGACAATAATAGACAGAAGAAGAAAAAGGTACACTTTTTCAATGATATGGATGTGATAATACCATCAGATTTCTCAATTCAGTGTCCATTTGTTGGTCAAGTCCCTATCAAGTCGCTTGTGCTACAGAATTTGTCTTAGATCCCTGTATAGTTGAACATCTAAAACAAATTAAAATCTGTTATAACACTAATGCTGCTTTTGTAACTAATATTGTTGTCTTCTCAAAATTTCACACTTTGCATGTTGGGAATTTTAAAGAAAGATGACTTTTACCAATTTTTTCGTTAAAGTTTTGTCATATTAGCGATTTTTAGCGAAATTTATGAATTGATATTATTTGTACCTTAACCATGATTATGATAATATTTAGTTTGATTATTTCCTATAGTCAGCCAAAGTAAGAAAAGAAAGAAGAACTAAAAGAAGAACAGAATTTTTAGAAGATGAAGAAAGAGATAAAGAAAGAGAAAAATTAAAAGAAGAGGTTTGTAATATAATTTTTCTAAATGATTCTTCTGTGGCTAGAATTTTGAAAATTTAACTTAAATAAAGTCAAGATTTGAACCCTTTTAACCCTACCGGCCACACACTTACACAATATATACCCGAGCAGCAGGGACCTGGGCGTTATTAAATGACATCATACAACATTAACGTCATTCGCTTTTACTTTTATTACTTGATATTCAGGGTATATGACGTTATATTTCATTTACACTCAGGGTTCAAAGGGTTAACTTATTACTTTCAGATTGTTCAGATTTTTTAATAAAAATTTTGTCTGCAATTTCTCAAATATTTCAAATTTCAAATGAGAGTCCTTTGTTTAAAATGCCTTCAGGTCAATACAAACATTTGTTTGATAATTTCAGTCACAATTGCCTGTGGAAAGTTTAGACTGAAAATTCCCCTGTTTGAAATCACCAACCCAAAATATAGTCTAAGACTCACAGAACCCCTTTTTTTATATCTTATTGATATTAAGAAACAGCAGTTTAATTATAACCCCTTACATATAACATTAATAGTTTTTTTTTTATGGTAAATTATCACTTGAGATGATGTGTATATGTAATGTGTAATGAAACATTGTGTTTAAATAATAAATAAAATTTTTATATCCATAAACTGTTGTTTCTTAAACTGCTGTGATACTTCTAAATGTCTTACAAGGATTATATCCTATTACTTTGAAGCTGAAAATAATCAAAACGTTGTAACAAAAGTTCCATACAAAGTTTTCATGAACACACTTTCAAGTCAATTTGACCCTTTCTTATCCAGTTAATTCTATAAGTATTTAAACATTCTTGTTGAATTTCCTCATTGTACACTGCAATATACACAAAATCTAATTCCATATAACCAATTGCTGAGATATAGGTTTTAAATACAACGCTAAAAATTATGCTAGTTTTAAAGCACATCTAACGCATAGCGAACAGTTCTTCAAAGCCACCAATGAGCTGTTGAATGAGAGTATTTCAATAATATCAATAGCCTCTAAATCTGATTATATGAACAATATACTATAATAGCCTGCTTTTAAAAGAACAATAGACTAAGATTATATTACATATCAGATTAAATATTAACTTGTGGATAACAGTCAATGCCTGTAATAAACTATGTCAATAATCCCTTTTTGAGACCCTGCCAAAATTTTACCTGTTCATTTTACTGGTAGTTAGTATATGGATATGTTGTGATTTATAACTTCTAACTTATCAACTTCTTTGTTTTTGGGATAGATATTGAATGTTATGTAAAACGTGTGTCCTCGATAATGAGAATTCTGTTTTAATTTTCAGAAATATCTCTCTGTGGTCGATGATCTACATAAATTAAAGAATTATTATTATCGAGAATACAGAGATCTGTTAACAGAGAAGATCATTCGACAGAGATTGGAAATTAAAGACAAATCAGAAGCCATGTTAGCTTCAGCAAGACAAAAGGAACAGGAAGAGGTAAGTCAATTGATTTTTGCGGACAAATTTTGTATTTAAAAGGCTCATTAAAAGGAATATGGTCATCTAAATATTTTTCATGTAACTTGATTATGATAATTTAACTTGTTGAAACATTGTGTATAATAAAACTCAGGAGTAGTATACCATAAAATTGTCATCTATTATTTGCTTTTCACTCTCAAGATAGCTCAAATTTAGCCATTTTCAGAATTATTGTCAGATATATGGTAATCCACTAATGAATACAACAAACTTGTTTTACCAAAGAATCATGACTATTAAAGTTTTTGCCTCTTTTCCTTCTATGATGTCTATTGTCTAATGTGCTAAACTCAGTCATATGAGAGTTTCTTATTCGCATCCATACACAACTGGTGATCACTCTGGTCACTATAGGCAATATCTGCATTGAAGGAATATGGTTTTACAAGAACGCAAATTCATGTAATGTTTTTTTTATTAGAGAGAAGCCAATAAATCCAAGGCTAGGATGACCAAACATAAACTGGTACACAATGAAGATTTCCTTAAAAATGTTGAAATAACAGAAACAGCAAGGGTAGGTTTTTCCAGTATTTTAGGTTTCCAATATTCTAGGATTTCATTCCAATATTTGAGGTTTTCATATAAGCTTACCAACTCTCTAGGTGTTCAATATTTCAGGTTTCTAATATTTCATGTGTCCAATATTCTAAGTTTCCAATATTCTAGGTTTTCAATATTTTTTGGATATAAAATTTAGCCAGGAATTTTTCCCATTGTTACACACTAAACTTCACACTGATGAAATCCATACTTTAAATGCATTTCGCATATTTTTTATAAAAAATCTTTATTTGAGAATTCAAATATGGTTTATTTAAAAGAAATTATTTTATTTTAGATTGTTAATCTACAGACTAAACTACAAAAAGAAGGTAAACTGAAGAGTCAATCTGATATAGATGAATTTTGGAGAAATATCAAAAATCCAAATGCAAATGAGAAATATTTTGATAAAAATAGAGGTAAGTTGAAACGGGGGATTTTTTTTTAGTAGGTTGCGAAAACTATAGACTAAGATCCAAAGAAATGTGTCCCTTATCTTACCTTATCTGAAAGTTTTAACCAAAATAATCTTATTATCAATTTTTGGAATGCCAAAACTATTTGGAAACTTATGATGATTTGAGTGTTCCAGTCATCTGATCATTAAGCCTATATATTTCAAATTAAATCATTTATAAATTTAGTTTCTAACCCAATGAAATAACTGTAAATCTTGGTTTCATCTAAGACTTAGTTGATAAAGTGTGTGTGTATTAATAAAGCAATATATTCAGAATTATACAGTATATAGAAAACTCACTCAAACTATATTCTATTTTAATCAAGGTGAAACACCAGACTCAGTATTTGGTGGAAAAATTGCGACAGCTAATAGACCATTGAGTCAAATAAATGAATCTTCAGAATCATCTCGTCCTACTACCAGGGGAGAGAACTGGGCTGTAACACAACAATATAAACATCAACATAAGGTATTGTGATAATATCATACACTACAGTAGCTAAAAGATATTTGTGCAATTTCAAATATAAGCACAAGCAGTCTACCTTATTTTAGTCAATTTAATTGGTAATAAATATTGGACTGTTTTTGTTCATGTTTTGAATTGGACCAAAATGTCTTTGATCGACTCGATATTATTCTTGTTGATAATTTTGGAAATGAAATAGAGTTTTACATCATACTTTTATGCTTCCAATTCTACTGCTGGGTACAGTAAGAAAATTTTTTCAAAGATGGGTGTAGCACAGGGAAAAAGTCAATGACTAGATGCTTTTTCAATGATGGCTTCTATGATTTTTATTCCTGGTTTGAAAATCTCAAAATATTGTGAAAGCTTTGTAGGGATTTAAGACAGGATTCTCAGGTCTCTCAATGAGCCAATGTGGTTTCCCAGGAGATAAATTCCTTACTTTGCAAAAATAGAATAGAGTTTGACGCCCTACTTTTCTGCACCTGTTTGGGCCATTGAGAAGGTTTTTTTTTTTTCAAAAGTTTAAGATTCAACCAAAGATTGCATCAAATTTTCTTCCACTATTTAAATTTTCTAAATATATTATTTTACAGGGTCCTGGAAATCGTCAAAAAAATAATTCCTCTGCAGCCAAACAAGCTATGGACAAAAGATTTGCTTCTGTAAGATATTTTTGCTCTCAAAATGATTGTAATGGTTCAATGTAACCAAATCTGCAGCATGACTTCTTCCTATTTAAAATCTTTCATGTTTATTTGATTAAAATAAAATGCACATTAAAATGCAAGTTATTTTGTTTCCTGTGGGTGACTCCACTTGCTATTCTAGATCTGACAAAATTGGTATCCAAAATGATTTTTATGTCATAAATGTATTGAACCAATCAAACACTGAGTTCATTGTTTGAATTTGACTTATAAGGTCAACTCACTTTTAAATCTATATAATTTTAATTTACTAATTTAAGTGAATCGGTTTTGATTTAAAATGTAATTGAATAAGAACCATTATATTGCAGGTTGATATGCCACCATTACATTGTTTCACTATGGATTTAAGTGAGAAACCTCCAGATCCAGAAATGGTATGTTCTTCATTACATTTATCAGACATTTCTTAATATGTGTTCTAGCTGAATTTCAGTTATCTGTAATACTTTTAATAACTAAATTTGACACCTAGTTTGTCTGCAATTATAAAAATAATGACATTTTAATTTTTTACATGCGATGAAATTTCCTGTACATGGGAAAAATCTTACAGCTGAAACCACCTTTTACCAAAGACTGTTGCTTCAATGATGTTTTTCTTTCTTGTGTGCATAAGTATTAACTTATTAATATTACCTTATTTTCAATATTCCAGATCAATAAAAGAGTACAATTAAAGGCAATTGAAAAACAAAGAAAGAAATTTATGGGCAAACTTCATAAGATGCATCAACTAGCAATGGCTAATAATGCTTTAGCTTCCAGGTTAGTGGCGCTTATTATTTTGGTTATTTTTTCAGTATACGTTTCTCCATTAGAAAATTAGACCAAATTTTTGTTCTGTTTATTTAAATAAACACTTTGGGTCTCTTGAATATTCGTCCTAATAACCTTTTGACTGAACCTAATGACTTCTGCTTTAACCAATCCAATTCTGTCAATCTCTCCCAAATTTCAAACGCTGGAGAGGGCATCATTGCCATCACCATACCTATATTGTACTAAATTGTCTTATCAGATTTTAGCTCTTATATTTATATATAAATAATGAATTCAAAAAGACAAAAAATACTCTGGGACCTCAGATAGGTCTAACCACTCAGTGCACCTCTGATCCTCAGTGGTTCAACCTCTCAATCCACCTCAGATTCTCAGTGGTTCAATCTCTCAATCCACCTCAGATCCTCAGTGGTCAAACTGCTCAATCCACCTCAGATCCTTAGTGGTGCAACCTCTCAATCCAACTCAGATCCTAGGTGGTCCAACCACTCTATCCACCTCAGATCTTCGGTGGTTCAACCTCTCAATCCACCTTAGATCCTCAGTGGATCAACCTCTTAATCCAACTTAGATCCTCAGTGGTTCAACCCTTCAGTCCACTGCTGATCCTAGATACCAAATTTGATACCAATCTGTAATAAACCCTAAAAATACATAATCAAAACTCATATCAGAGTACATTCTTCAAATGTGTGGTAACATAATAAATACTAAAGAATATCAGAAAACGAAAAAAAGATATCAATTATTAGTTCATTGTAATATTAGTAATACAAAAGAATAATTTACACAGACTATTTTTTACAAGTTAAGTTAACCTCCTTTTAAACTAGCTGTCCTGAGGAGGTCTTTATATCCAAAAAATGTGGTGATATTCAAATGACCAAAATTCAATCAAGTTTTAGAATTTAGAAGTTAAAATTCCTTGACTAGTTGATTGAATTTGATTTACACTGAATATATGTAATTAAATTTGATTGATACCTACTGAAATACATTTACTCAGTTCATTAGATGGTACTAATCAAATGATCTGGGCTAATTCAAGTTTCAGAAAGTAAAATTCAACTTGAGTTGTTGATTGAATTTGATTTACACTGAATATATGATATTAACACAGAAGTAGGCTTACTCAGATTTATGAGCAACGCTGGTATAAATCAACTGATCAAGATTCAATCAAGTTTCAGACAGTAAAGCTAAACTACCCAGACTTCTTGATTGATTTTGATTGACAGTGAATATATGCAACTACAACAGATTGAAATAGGCTTACTCAATGTATTAACTTAACTAGTTGCAATCAAATGATTAAAATTAAACCAAGTAGAAGTTAAACTAACTAATCTTGATTGAATTTGATTTACACTGAATATATGCAATTGGATCAGATTGAAATAGGTTTACTCAGGCTATTAGCAAAATCTAATCAAATGATCCAGATTCAATCAAGTTTCAGACAGTAAAGCTAAACTACCCAGACCTATTGATAGATTATGATTTGATCTACAGTAGGCTGATCTGTTAAAAAGATTTTGAAATCAGTATCTATCATTACAGTAAGCTATAACAGAATTTGATAAACAGAGTTCACATATAAATATCTGGATATCTGTTCACTTGTCATTTTATATCTCAACTTCTCTCAATATTCATAGCTTTTATATTCTAAATTCAAAATGGCTGCCACTTTTACTGAAAGTTATTCATATTTTGCTGTTTTAAGAAATCAAACTGAGACTAGATTATCAGGTCTAACAGAATCAAAAGATACAGATGTTCAGAACTACAGAAATGAAGATGAGATTATCAAGACTTCAAGAAAATCTTCAACAATTAAATACTGGAAGATACCAAAATCATTTCTTATCACCTTGTAAGACTGGAAGTCCAAGTAGAAGATATATTCCTGTGACTATTATTAAAAATGGTTTAAAACGAACAGCTTGTTAAAACATCTGATGGTTTTGGTCTCAAACGATTAACAATTGGTTTGGATCTGGAAGATATCAGCATATTATCATGAAGACCAAGCTATCCAAGACAGTTATATCACAGGAGAAGACGTGCAGCATTTCTGTCCATAAGTCAAAGTCGACAAGCAGGCAAACTCAATGAGGTAGACACAAAACCATCCCAATAGACATTCATGGCTTATTCTGTTTGTCAAGTGCAATATTTTGTTATATTTTGTTATAACTTGTTATTGTTTATATTGTTTTTGTTATCAAACTATTATACATTTTAAGAAATAAAAATGTAAAGTTGTATTTTATTGGTTTTCATTATATGAAATGATTTTGTAATTTTCCTGAAGCACAGAGGAAATTCAGATTGAAAATGAGAAAGTTTTAGTCTACACTCTGCTAGAAAACAAGGATCTAAAATCATAAGCTAAAAGAGCTCTTCATTATTTGAGCTCCTTTGAACAATTAATTGATGATTATTTTATAAAACTTCAAGTAATGAATCATTTATTTACAAATAATAACAATACTGTACAATAGTGATAACAAAATATATAACAATTATAAACTAAAATAACAACTATTATAATTTATAAATTATAAACTAAAAAAACAACTATTATAATTTATAAATTATAACCTTATATAATAAACTAAATATATCTAACACAGTGTATATTTTAAACCCTTAATAAATTTAGTCTGTAAAACATCATCATTATCACCCTTATCTTCATTATCATCATTATCATCATTATCATTTACTTCTGTTAAAATACAAGACTGATGTAAATTCTCATATTTTTTACCATGATGATAAGATACTGTACGAGTCCCACAAAATCTTGTAAAATTATTGGTACTTGGTACTGTTTCTGGATCACAAAATCTGGTAAAATTATTGGTACTTGGTACTGATTCTGGATCACAAAATCTGGTAGAGTTATTGGTACTTGGTACTGTTTCTGAATCACTAACTGTAGTAAAATTTTTGGTACTTGGATCACTACTTTGATTCACAAAATTTCTTAGTTTATTCTCTAACTGAATTTCTTCTATTTTTAAATTATCATTGATTATTCTTATATTCTGTCTTCTTTTCTGAATTTCTTTTAATCTTCTATCAATTTTCTTATTGACTAATTTCTTCTTGAATTCAACTGTATCAGTTTCTACAACTTGACAAAACTTGTTACTTTTACAAATAACTGGAGTTTCAGAAAAGAAACTTGTATTACAGGAATTATAAGTTTCACAATATAAATTATCTCTAGATTCTGGAAACATGATGATAATGTTGTTTATACAATGATAAGATAATGATGATTTAGAAAAATTTATAAAGATATTTATATAAGTTATAAAATATAAGACTAGTTATCTGTCATTAGTAATGATTATTCTGTCATATTGGTGAAATGATTATTCTGTCATATTGGTGAAATGATTATTCTGTCATTACTTAAGTAATATAAGATAAATTGATTAATTATAGTGAACACATTTAATGTACAAGTAATTATTCAATGAGTTATTAATGAGACAGTATCTTTATTCAAATTTTACAAATTGGTTTTCAGTTGTCAGTGATAGAGGTTAGAAGAACAGACATAGTAAAAGGACAGAGTTTTTCATTTAGAAAAGAATATCAGACAGTATGATTTAGTTAAGTTTTATTTTCAGATAAATAACAAATACAATAACAAGATAAATAACAATATCAAACAATAACAAAAAAACAATTCTAGTTTCATCAGCACTATATCTTCTTGGTACTAATTATGCCTTGGAAATAGGTGAATGTCTTTGATTTTGGTAAATAAAGATTTGTAAGATAACAATATCAAACAATAACAGATCTGGTTTCATAGCACTATATCTTCTTGTTATTTTATTTTCAGTAGAAATTAGACTCTTGTTGTTTTTCTACCATTTCTCACAACTGTTACAGGAGTATATCTTCTTCTTGGACTTCCAGTCTTTCAAGGTGATAAGAAATGATTTTGGTATCTTCCAGTATTTAATTGTTGAAGATTTTCTTTAAGTCTTGATAATCTCATCTTCGTTACTGTTGTTCGAACAGTTTATTTTGATTCTGTTAGACCTGATAATCTTGTCTCAGTTTGATTTCTTAAAACAGCAAAATGTGAATAACTTTCAGTAAAAGTGACAGCCATTTTGAATTTAGAATATAAAAGACTCTGTCTAATTCTCTGGCTCCTCAGCAAATTGTTGTTTTTCTACCATTTCTCACAACTGTTACAGGAGTATATCTTCTTCTTGGACTTCCAGTCTTACAAGGTGCTATCAAATGATTTTGGTATCTTCCAGTAGTAAGTTGTTGAAGATTTTCTTGAAGTCTTGATAATCTCATTTTCATTTCTGTAGTTTGAACATCAGAATCTTTTGATTCTGTTAGACCTGATAATCTTGTCTCAAATTGATTTCTTAAAACAGCAAAATGTGAATAACTTTCAGTAAAAGTGGCAGCCATTTTGAATTTAGAATATAAAAGTTATGAATATTGAGAGAAGTTGAGATATATAATGACAAGTGAACAGATATCCAGATATTTATATGTGAACATTATTTACTCATGTCATTGATATTCAATGATGACAGTGTTTACTTTATTATTGATTAGATTAGACATTAATAATCAAAACATTTCTCTGATTGATTACTTGATTCAATCATAGTATTAATAGTTACAATATATTTTAATGATAACAGTTTTGTAATATGGATTTTTATCTACATATTTATTGAAAAGCTGAAATTTTTAACAATTTACATCCTGATTTACACAAGTATGAGGATTTTCATTTATCATTTCTTCATAAAGTGTAATATTTGCATTCCTATTTGATTTCGATTAAATTCAGCTATCTTCTCTTTTGAGGTAATTGGTTATAAATTTCAACACTGAAGTAGCATTTTATGTTTTTAATTTACAATAATAACATTGATAACAATAACAAACAATAACAAAATATTGCATGCAATAACAAGAATGGCTGTTGGGCTGGTTGTGTGTCTACCTCCTTGATTTTGTCTTCCTTTGGACAAAGGTACATAGGTGCACATCGCTTATTGTAATGAAAAATTGAGTGGTATTTCTGGGAACTTAGACAGTTTGGTCTTCATTATAATATAGTGATATCTTCCAGTACCAAACAATATTAAAGTTTGTATAACACTTTTTCTAATCCATTTTTACTTTAACCATCAGATGTTCTGGAAAACCATTCTAACAGGCTGTACATTTTAAACCATTTCTCATAATAGTTACAGGAATATATCTTCTACTTGGACTTCCAGTCTTACAAGGTGATATCAAATGATTTTGGTATCTTCCAGTATTTAATTGTTGAAGATTTTCTTTAAGTCTTGATAATCTCATCTTCATTTCTGTTGTCCGAACATCAGTTTGTTTTGATTGTGTTAGACCTGATAGTCTAGTCTCAGTTTGATTTCTTAAAACAGCAAAATGTGAATAACTTTCAGTAAAAGTGACAGCCATTTTGAATTTAGAATATAAAAGTTATGAATATTGAGAGAAGTTGAGATATAAAATGACAAGTGAACAGATATCCAGATATTTATATGTGAATTCTGTTAATCAAATTCTGTTATAGCTTACTTTACTGATAGATACTGATTTCAAAACCTTTTTAACAGATCAGCCTACTGTAGATCAAATCAAAATCTATCAATAGGTCTGGGTAGTTTAGTTTTACTGTCTGAAACTTGATGCAACACAGATCTTTTGATTGCATCAATATTACTAATGAACTGAGTAAGGTTATTTCAATCTGTATAAATTCTATATATTTAGTGTTAATCAAATTCAATGAATCAAGAGGTCCGATACTTGAAAAAATATGGATCATTAACTAAGTAAGCCTATTTCAATATGTTTTAATTGCATATATAAAGTGTAAAAAAAGTACTTTAGTTTTACTCTCTGAAATTTGAACACAGATCATTTGATTGCTACTAGTTTAGCTAATGTACTGAGTAAGCTTCTTCAATCTGTTGTAATTGTATATATTCATTTTAAATCAAATTCAATCAAAAAGTCTGGGTACTTTTGCTTTACTGTCTGAAACTTGATTGAATCTAGATCATTTGATTGGAACCACTTTACTTAAACACAACTATGTAATACTGAGCAAGCCTTTTTATCATCTGATTTATTTTCAGTTTTAAATCAAATCAATCAACAAGTCTGTCTGAAACTTAATCTTTTGATTGAAAAGTGATGATGATCAAATGATGAACAAACCGAGTAAGCCTCATGTATTCTGGCTAATATCTTCTATTTTTGTGAAGTTTAATGAAAAGGTTTTTTGAATTGTAGGAAATAAAGCAAGCCTGTTTTTGAGTTGTAAATAATAAAGCAAGCCTGTTTTGGAATTGTGAAAATAAGGCAAGCTTGTTTTGAATTTTAAAAATAAAGCAAGTCTGTTTTGGAATTGTGAAAATAAAGCAAGCCTGTTTTGAATTGTAAAAAATAAAGCAAGCCTGTTTTGGAATTATGAAAATAAAGCAAGCCTGTTTTGAATTGTAAAAAATAAAGCAAGCCTGTTTTTGAATTGTAAAAAGTAAAGCAAGCCTGTTTTTGAATTGTGAAAATAGAGCAAGCCCGTTTTGAATTGTAAAAAATAAAGCAATCCTGTTTTGAATTGTAAAAAATAAAGCAAGTCTGTTTTGGAATTGTAAAAAATAAAGCAAGCCTCTTTTTAAATTGTAAAAAATAAAGCAAGCCTGTTTTTGAATTGTAAAAAATAAAGCAAGCCTGTTTTTGAATTGTAAAAAATAAAGCAAGCCTGTTTTTGAATTGTGAAAAATAAAGCAAGCCTGTTTTTGAATTGTAAAAAATAAAGTAAGCCTGTTTTTGAATTGTAAAAAATAAAGCAAGCCTGTTTTTGAATTGTAAAAAATAAAGCAAGCCTGTTTTTGAATTGTGAAAAATAAAGCAAGCCCGTTTTTGAATTGTAAAAAATAAAGCAAGCCTGTTTTTGAATTGTGAAAATCGAGCAAGCCTAGCTGTTTTTTAAATAGAGGCTGTTTTTTTACTGTTGATTCAGTAGTCTTCAATCAAGTAACAATCAAAAGTAATTTTTCTTTACTTATATTTCCATTTAGAAATCCAGACTGTTTTGAGTAATTGAATTGTGTATATATCCAACCAACTATTAATACTTTGATTGAATCAAGTAATTGCTAAGATAAATGTTTTGATTATTAATGTCTAATCTAATCAATAATAAAGTAAACACTGTCATCATTGAACATCAATGACATGAGTAAATAATGTTCACATATAAATATCTGGATATCTGTTCACTTGTCATTTTATATCTCAATTTCTCTCAATATTCATAACTTTTATATTCTAAATTCAAAATGGCTGCCACTTTTACTGAAAGTTATTCACATTTTGCTGTTTTAAGAAATCAAACTGAGACTCGATTATCAGGTTTAACAGAATCAAAACAAACTGTTCAAACAACAGAAATGAAGATGAGATTATCAAGACTTAAAGAAAATCTTCAACAATTAAATACTGGAAGATACCAAAATCATTTGTTATCACCTTGTAAGACTGGAAGTCCAAGAAGAAGATATACTCCTGTAACAGTTGTGAGAAATGGTAGAAAAACAACAATTTGCTGAGGAGCCAGAGAATTAGACAGAGTCTAATTTCTACTGAACATAAAATAACAAGAAGATATAGTGCTATGAAACCAGATCTGTTATTGTTTGATATTGTTATCTTACAAATCTTTATTTACCAAAATCAAAGACATTCACCTATTTCCAAGGAATAAATAGTACCAAGAAGATATAGTGCTGATGAAACTAGAATTGTTATTTTGTTATTGTTTGATATTGTTATGTACCATGTTGTTATCGTATTTGTTATTTATCTTAAAATAAAACAATTCACTAAATTATACTGTCTGATATTCTTTTCTAAATGAAAAATTCTGCCTTTTACCATGTCTGTTCTTCTAACCTCTATCACTGACAACTGAAAACCAATTTGTAAAATTTGAATAAAGATACTGTCTCAAGCTTTGCAATCTACTATGTCTCTTTACTATTTTTCACAATAGAAACCTTTGCCCTTCCAGAACAGAATAGTGAAAATCATAGGTCACAATATGAGATAAGTATGGCCTCCGTTTTAAAACGAAGATTATTTTATTTTGATTAACGACAAACACCCTCATCCCCTCTCAACTATTTTCATTTGTCATTATCAATAACATTTTATTCACCAATGAATTTGTTCGGCACTTTTCCCTTTCCTTTTGTAAATATGTTTGTCACTTCCTGTTTTGTTTCCAATGTACATTTCGCTGCTGTCAACTCCTATATTATGTAAATTATACTTTTATCATCTGTAAATATTCGTATTGGTAACAGATTTATATAAGCTTCGGCTTGTTTCTGAAACCAACATTAATCTATAGCATATGTATGATTTTGTAAATTATCAATAAATATTGCTTAAACATAGGTCACAATAAGAATGACAAATTTTGTTTTTGTGGT